CTTGCAATTGCCAGATTTATATAGCATACACTGAACAAAATTAAATATTAGAAGACACTTGATGTGATGTTTGCGATGTGGGGAATAGTCAGTAGCACATCATGTACTGTTTGGGACAGAGAGAGAAAGAGATGTAACAGACACTGGATCCATATCCATGGTGAATACTGAGTATATGTTGCTAGGTCCATATTAGCTGAGTACTCAACAAATGGGAAAAAAAGGGGGAGGGGGTGTGCTATTGTCAGTATCAAACTGGTTATCTTTAGTTCCTAGGGAAACCTCTGCTATTCATTTTAGGCAGTGTAGACCTGAGAGTCCAGGTCAAGGGAAAATATTGTCTCTAGTAGACATGTGGGAGTCTGACTTACTGACGTGTAACCCCACCAGGACATCACACTGAGCAATAAACACCCGGTGACACAAAGTGCCATCATTCAGATGAGGACCTTCCCTCGAAGTCGGAGTACATCTGCCCGCGAGGCAGGGAACAGCAAAGCGGTTGTACACGCAAAACTCAGGTCCAGGTAAAAGCCAAAAGTCCAAGCGGACAATTAACCGGGACCTTCCACCGGAATTCACAGCCGGTGAATGAAGAAGAAGAAGATGAGGACCACTTGGGGACAGGTCCCAAAAACCCCGTCCAACCCATAGGTTGGGTTATAGGAGGCATGTTTTTTTAAGTAAGTCCCGTTTTCACTGCAGCGACCAACACAGATGGGAAAATATAAATGTGCATGTGCATTATGTTTATGTGGTTCATTAGTAACTGTGTGCTGATTTTTTCACTGTCAAAATCTTGTTTAACGCTGCGTGGGAGTGATTTATAATGAGTGCAAAAAACAAAAAAAAACAGCTACAAGGTTCATGCTGCGATCCATTTTTTTGTTAGCAAAAAATAAAAAAACTGTTGCAGAAATTTACAGCAACTCACTGAGGTTTATAGGCCAGATGTTTTGACCAATAGTATGGTTAGGAAATTATGTTGGATGTTTAAAGAAGGGTGAACAAAATATCAAAGATTGTAGTGATCGGCTGAATGTTGTGACATATGATTTCAATGAAGAAGTAAACGAACAAAATTCAGGAGAAATGTCGTTTCTGCTCTGTCCGTAAAATTTTTATAAGTTTAACGTTCAAAGATTTACGATATTTTGACAAAAAACCTTAGATTAAAAAAAAAAATTTGTGCCATTCCAAACAAAAGATGTTGGTTGCTGTCTTTGGTATTGTGCTTTTACTCGACAATGCTCAACCTCACGTCACAGATGAAACTGTTCAATTGTTGCAAAAATTTCACTGGAAAATTGTTGAACACCTGCTTGACAGCGCCTATCTGGTGCCCAAATGATTATCACTTTTTTTATGCAAATAAAGAAGAGGCTGACATCCCAGCGGTTTGAAACTGATGATGAACTGCAGACAGGCGTTAATGAATGGTTCAAGACACTGGCAGCAGACTTCTATGACAATGGAATTAAAAACCTGGTGCCACAAAACCAAAAAATTTGTTGAAGTCAATGGTGACTATTTGGAAAAATAATGTAAATGTGTGGTTCACTTTTCACTGCAATAAATGATTAAAAAAAAAATTTATATATATGATGATAAAAAAAAATGCTTATTGAAGTCAATGGTGACTATTTTGAAAAATAATGTAAATGTGTGGTTCACTTTTCACTGCAATAAATAATTTAAAAAAAAATTTATATATATGATGATAAAAAAAAAATGCTTATTCCATGACTTTCCTTAAAAAAAGTAAAAAAAAAAACATGCCCCGTATTAGGGTCCCCGGGAACAGCCAGGGTGGGGCTCCAACATAACCAAACAAAATTGCGTCCTATATGGGGATGGACATTATGTGGAAGCCACAGTTGCCTAGTGATTAGGCACTTGGCTTAGGTTCTAAGGTTTTGGATTTGAACTTGTAATGAAATAGCTTTTTTGGCGAACGAAAGAAGAAGAAATAGAGAAATGGCTATTCTCCGAACTTCGGGCACTAAAGATGACAGCCGCAAAATATCCTTTCAAGCCACAGTCACTTGACTTAATTTGCGGTTCTCCGGCAACTACCGATAAACTGCCGCAAGTTCCCCCACGCTTCAGGAAATGCGGAAGCTGCTGCTCGTGGGTCCTAGCCATCTAGTTTAGCCCCAATCCACGCCGCGTGAGCGTGTAGGAACTCGTGGCGGTGGCGGTAGTCGTGGCGGTGGCGGTAGTTTTTAAAAAAAATGTCACAATCAAAGTGTTTCCCTCTTCCCTAATTTTCTTGGATTTCTATTTCTTCTTCCTCCTTCTCTACCTTTAGTTTTTTTTCTTTCAGGTGTCTGATCTGGAGTAGATCTTCTTCTTCTGAATTTGCCATTAAAGGGTAGTTATCAAGTTGTGTTGTGGTTTACGTGAAAGCTGCAATATCTTTACCTTTTGTCTGAATATATCTGATTTTAGCAAACCTCTGGTAATCTTTTACAATATGCCTGTTTGCACAGCAGTGGGTCTATCTCCCCTACCCCCCTATGGAGTCTGGGTACCCACATGGAGGGTCTGGAATAGACATCAGTAATCATGATTCTTCAATCCTTTGTTAAGTCTGACATTTTGATAAAGATGCTGTTATAGTATTATTATTTGTTTTCAATCTGTTTAAGCTTTCTTTAAACATCTTAAGATTCTTCTCATTTAATTACAAGGGATAGTTTACTATTAATTTGAATTTGTTTCACATAGAATTAGAATGGTTGTTGTACACTACACCAATCCAAACCAAATAAAACCAAACTTGAGACACCAGAAAAAAACTAAAAAAGTGTTGTGCACAAACACCTTCAATTGAAACAGACAATAACTGACCCCCCCCCCCCCCCCCTTTTCCACGCCCGAAAAAAAAACAATTAAAAAAAAGTTCAAATTTCAACTGCGGCATAATCTGGGATGTGATAACATGAAACCCATCCCAATGGCTTTATTACTAACATATGAAATGTATATTCGCAGGTGTAGTATAATGAAACAAAGCAACTTTTAGGAAACAAGCAAGCTAATATACCTGTTATACATCTGTAACGCAGCTACTGGGAAGGATTTAATTTAATCACACCTCATAAATTAATGAAGAATAAATAGATATCACATCTTAAGCAATTTACAAAATGATGAACAACTGATTACACTTCAAAACATGAAAAAAATCAGATATTTAATGAAAAGTTTCTTAGCATGTTACAGTTGACTTATGTTTTGAAAAAAAAAAAAAAAGAAAAAAAAAAAAAAAAAAAATATATATATATATATATATATATATATATATATATATATATATATATATATATATATATATATATATATATATATATATATATATATATATATATATACACACATACATATATATATACACATACATATATATATACACACATACATACATACACACATACACTTTAAATGTTAACATAATAAATTACTACTCAACTGACAAAGAAATATATATTTTGGATATTACAGGACACTCAAATACAGAGGTTCTAAACGTATATAGAAAGACAAAAATAGAGTTGCTGAAACTAGAAAGAGATGACAATTATTTTAGGCATTTTAAAAGATTTTCTTTAAAAAAAAAACTATACCAGAGATTAAAAAAAAATGTTTGACAATGAAACTAATGGTAGGATAAATGTAGACCTGATTAACATCAGTGTGAGAGAGTGTGCAACCATGATGAGAGGCATGGAGTGCAGAAGATCTATTCATGGAGTGCTGAAGATCCATTGCAGCCTTCCTTTTCTTCAAGAGGGCACCTGATTGATTGTTCATGTCTTCAGTAATTTATAAATCTACAATCTGTGTTAGGTTGACTGTAATCCAGTATACCAACCAAAGACAATCCATTAGAAGTCATATGTTAGTTTTAATTATGGTGTCAATAAGACACATTTATATACAATTTAAGTTTTACATCAATTTATATACAATTTAAGTTTTACATCACATAAGTTAATATAAAATAATATACTCTGCATGTCAGATCACCTACTGTCATGAAGAACATTCTACTGTGAGCAACAAGATAGAAAACACTCTGAAAGTGTCACTAAAACATGTATACTCCAGTCTCAAGAGCTTGCTAAATATTCCCAAAAACATGTAAAGGGCAGTCTCAGGATCGTGCTAAAGATCCCACAACACATATAAAAAGCAGTCTCAAAATCTTGCCAAAGACCCCCAAACATGAAAAAAGCAATTTTAGGATCTTGCTAAAGTTCCCAAAAACATGTAAAGGGCAGTCTTAAGATCTTGCCAAAGATCCCCCAAAACATATAATGGAAAGCCTAAAGATCTTGCTAAAGATCCTGACACATGGGAGGCCACTTAAATTAACTGTTCATCCTAAGGTAGCAAATGATGTGAGGCAGCCAGAACTGCAGCAACAGCTAAATAAAGAGGGAACAGAAAAAAAAAAGAATGCTTTAATGGACTTGGCTTAAATCCCCCCCCCCCCCCCCAACAACAACAACAATAAAATACAAGAAATTATTGTATCTTCAGAAATTTACAAAATTACAAATAATGAATAGTTAATTACACTACAGCTTTTTAAATGAGGCATTCTAATTAGATTGTTCTTCTGTTTCTTCTTATTTTTCTTTTTCTTTAGCATGCCGAGCCCTTGAGGTTTAATGCTGCAGGTATTACCTGACTCCATTTATATCTGTTTGGTTTTTTAGTGAAAAATAAATAATAACATCATAGTAAAATTGTTACGAACTCATTAGTATACATTTAATTCACTAAGATTCAACACATTTAGTAGGTTTCTGGAAAAAGAGGAAGTTATGATAGAAAAATAATTGGAACGCATGAAGGAAATAATTCTGGAAAATATGCTAATTGTTATAATACAGAATGCGTTAGATATATATCTATAATACATAATTAGGTCAATTCTATAGAAAGATTTACTAGCTGAAATATTCTACATGACACAATGAAGATCATTTTCATGCATGGCTTGAGGAATGCAGTACGTCTGTGTGGTTTCTTCCATCAGTTTCTTTTTTCTTCCAAGCTTTTTTCCAAACAATGGAGAGGTTCACTGTTGCATTAAACCTTGAGGAATGGATAGATTATACAAATTGAAATAAATATGTCTTCTAAAACAAGTGATTAGTTCAGAAATGTAATAACAAGGGAAAACATTTTTCATTACAGCATTTAATGTGACCGGAAGTAACAAGATAAAATTTGATATTGGGGGAAAAAGGGGATATTATAATATCCTTACGTCCTTTTTAGGACGTAATTTTTTGATATTTGAAGCCCCACTCTGGCTTTTGCCAGGGGCCGCAATATAGGCAGACCATAAATATGGCCAATTGTCTGAACGCGGTTTCTGGGAAATCTCCACGGTGATCCTCATACACATGGTGTCACTTAGTGTCATCGGGTGTTTATCGCTTGTGTGATGTCCTGGTGGGGTAGAAAGTCAGTCAGTCAGTCAAAAAAAGGGAACCACTGTGATGTAGAGGCAAGATGCTTTTCTTGGATTCAAATATCGTGTGTTCAAATCCGGATGGTGCTGGAAGTTTTTCAGAAATGACCTTGCTCCCAGGTCAATCCAGCCTTTAATTGGTACCAGATAAAAGTCCAGGGAAGTAAAGACAGCAAGTGCTGATTGGTCCATAAAATATAGGTAGGGCATAAGTTAGCTGGTTAGTTAATTGACAGATTATCCTCAATGAACATCAGAAAAGTCCATAAGCGCCCGGATCCCATATTCAGTATCTCCCTCAGCGTGTGGCGGCTGATAATACCTGTTCCATGTTGGTTTACTATTCTTCTTTGGCTAAGTAGGGCATTAAAGCCCAGTCCTTCACTTTATTAAGAAGCAAATAGATACAATTTAAATGAAAGATTTTATCAAAAGAAGGAAAATAATTGATTACATTGTTGTCATTAAAATAAAATCCATTTTTAGTTGAAAGGACGATGTATCATATATTTTCTATAAATTATTTGTTTATAAAATTCTTTGCTTACACCTTTCTGTGCACTGACTTAAGGACTTTTAGAATCTTCCTTTATCTTTGCCTTCTTCCATCCCTCTTTGCCTTCTTCACGTCTCTCTTCTTTCTCCTATCTATATCTGCCTTCTACCTTCCCTCTTTGCCTTCCCCCCTCTCTCTTTGTCTTCCTCAATCTATGTATGTATTCTCCCATTTATTTTTCCTTTCTGCCAACTCTCTTTTCTTCCTCCATCTATCTTTGCCTTCTCCCATTTATCTTCGTCTTCCTCAATACATGTACGTCTTCTCTCATTAATCTTTGCTTTCATCCATCTACCTTTGCTCTCATTTTATAACTATGCCTTTTGCTGCTTCTGTTGGCTTTCCTCTATCTATCCTCGCCCTCCTCTATTCCTTTTTGTCTTCCTCTCAATGTATATTTGTTTCCCTTTGTCTTGTGCTGTTATCTTCCTGTGTCATGGCTTTAAGGCCATTAACTCATTCAGTAACAGACAACTCACTTTTCATTTATTAATTACTCTAAAGTGGATGTTCACACAACACTTAGGTTCCGGAACAAGTCTAAAGACCAGAGGTGGATAAACAACCAGAACTTTCTGCTGGAGTTTACAGCCGGTGAACACAAACAAGAAAAAGATTTCCATCTGAAAAGATGGAAAGGTATTAACAACTGCAGCTGCTAACTTTGACTTATTCTGTTCTTGTTTGTAACTCTTTTTTATTCATTGAGAGTCAAAGGTGATTGCTTTAAAGATTTAACACTCTGAGATCAAAATTAGCAGTTGACTGATACTAAAAGAATTGAAACCTTTCTTATGTTTGTCTTCTTTTTTCTCTCTTTGCCTTTCTCTGTTTTGTTTTTGTTTTCATTAACCTTCTTTAACCCTCGAAAGTCATTACACAGTATGATTACCAACATCTACTAGCAATATCCCAACAAAAATGAAACTACTAACGGCAGGTCTACAGACACTCCACAAACAATGCAATAAAAACAACCACAGAAACAAAACTAAGAATTCTCCTTCTTTTCATAGTCCATGTTGTGTGGTGTTGTTGGCAGTTATATCTGTCCACAACCTTGTCCCTTGTACATTCAATCATTTCTGACAGAGTTATTCTCCCATGTCATGGTATCATACTGTCCAGTATCCCTCAAGATCCCTCAGATTATTTTTCCCTCCAAATCTCCAGCAATATACTTCAGCTTCCTTCTACTCCTGATGTGACCAAAGAGTGTAGATTGCCTCCTTCTCAAGTGAGTAATCAGTTGTCCTTGTAAACCATCTTCATTACTCTTATCATCAGTCTATGGTGTTTTCATAATTTGCCTATAATGCTACATCTCTGCAGATTTCACATAATTTAAAACAAAGTGGCAAACTGTCCCTGAGTCACTTCCACATATCCAGCTACAGCTAAAATTATATAGCTCTTTTCCTCACCTAAACTATAAAGAAAGATTGCATAGAATGTGTTTATTTTATGGCAAACATCCAACAAAACATAATGAGTACAGACAACCAACAATATAAAGGTGAACCGCTTACCGGAAGTAAATGCCTAGTGGAACTGAAATGTGACTAAATATAGCCCATGCTGTGGTTCCATAAAAGTTGACCTGCAAAAACAAAATGAGATAAAAGTTTCCAGAGTTTGAGTAACGAGAAAGTTATGATTAAATCACATGGAAAATCCATGATAATCAATTCCCATTTCCACATTAAAGGTCAGCTGTAATGAGTTTCTTTAGCATTTGTTTATTCCACATGTTGGGAGAGCTGACCTGATGCCTGGCTTGAGATGGGCTATTGCCCTGTCCTTTATGGCCCCGGAATAATTCAGTAGGTTTGGTAGAAAACTATGGTGCAGGTTAGCATAGTACCTGACCTTGTGACAGGTCAGAAGAGTTCCTGATCCTGGGCTGGCCAAGGTCATCAGAGTTCCTGGCTCTGCCTGCCAAAGGTCAGCAGAGTTCATGGGTCTTCCACGGATCAATAAGGTTCATGACCCTTTCACATGAGAGCTAACTTTCAAAGTCATTGGAGGGAAAAAACACGGTAATAGTTACGTTGCTCTCCCCATTTACACACTTTTACACACGAGCTCACTTCTGATTGGTCGACTTTCAGCTTAGCTCACTTCTGATTGGTCAACCTGAGCCACGTGACCTTAGCAAAGGTTACAGGGGTGTTCAGCAATGCCACTAATATTGTGTGTTGTATATTTCAGTGTGCTGGCACTTTTAACGCTCCAAAACACCCGACAAACTGGATCTAATACAAAACCCCTTTAGAGAGTGATGAAACCTATGTCACAGGAATCCTCTTTCTTTGAATAAAAACCTAAATGCAAGACAATCCAGAATACAAACAACAGAGCAGAACACCCACAACCTCCAGCATAGGTAGACCAGTCCACAAAACTTATCAATGGAACGTTACCTAATTTGGGGAGACTAACGTTTGTTTAAATAAAAACACAAATAGCAACCAGTCATTTGATATTTCTTTACCTGAGTCTGATTATATTCTATCCTCTGTGTTTCAAATGTGTTGACAACCCAGAGAGCAAAATTACAGATGATGAGGAAGGTGACACACTGCCTGCCTGGCTTTTCTCTTAACTGAAAAAAAAAAAAAAACATAGGAAAAAATGTCAGTAGTGTGATTAATCAAAGATAAAACTACAGGGTGTTTGTAAAGTCTCACTATACTTTGTATGTAGAATGAAATACATGAGGTAATAAAAAATGTGCTCCACAGTCAATGATGAAATACACAGTGAGGGGTTGTCATCTACAGGAGTAACTCTTTTACACTCATAATAGAATGGTGTTAAAGGAAGAAATACATTTTAATGGGTTTAACAAGTGTTTTGAAATAGTGGTTGATACACATGGTTGGTTGTTCAAAGATTTATAGCATGTCTTGAAACCCCCGATTGCCATTTCCAACACCTGTAATAATAAATATTTCATTGGTACTTTCCAGCTTTCCCCAAACAGCACAAGACTATAGCAGCAATTCTTATAACTAATTTAGTGTATTTTAAAGCATATTTTTCATGATGTACTTTGTTCAAATTTATTCTGCATACAAAGTATAGTTGGAGTTTAGTAACTCCCTGTATAAATGGAAAGACATGTGAATACAGAGACAAAATTTGAATGGAGAGACAATGGTGCTTCAAGCATATGATGCCAAACTCATAATTTTATAGACCAATCATCAGTCAGTTGGCAATATTGTCAACATCACAGGGGCTGTTTATTTTTCCCATGACATTATCGTGTAACCCTTTTTTTTATAACCCTAAGAGTCAAGAATCATTTTGAAAAAAAAAAAGCCTTGTATCGAGTTTGAATCAAAGACCTTTAGGCCAGCAGATGAGCATCTAGCCACTACCCTACCACCACTCCCATTTTATTAATTTAAATTAATCAAAGGTAATGAAATTAATATGATCTACATCTGGTATTTGAAAAAAAAGGACATAAAACCACGCAACCATGTTTGTTTCTGCTCAAACACTTCTTTTTCATGTTCACTGGCTGTAAACTCCCCTAAAAAGTTAAGGTTATTCATCTTCCTCTGGACATTAGTCTTGTTCCAGAACCTGAATGTTGCATGCACACCCCTTTTACAGATCTGACTTATTTGTATGTAGACTGTTGGTTCCTTGCCTTTCAGGTACTCTGGCTTGAAAGGAAGCCCCTCCCCCATTCCCCCCTCCCCCTCCTGTTAGTCAACTCTTACGACTTGTTTATTGGGGGAGGCAACAGGTCCATTCTTGTTTTCCCCTCAGTGGGGTCCTGGAACCCACATGGAGATAGAACCTTTCTAATGAACTCTGCCACAAAAGCTGTTTATAAATTAAAAAACTTATCAAAGAAGAAAACACATACTTGTTCATGGTTTCTGGCTGAGGCTCTGAGGGTAGCTAGAGTAAATGTGGCTTGAGCGCCAGCTTGTATCAGCATGAACAGGTTTGTGATCAGCGTCAGGCGACCATGTAGTGTGTCCAGATAGAAGACTGCAGCGATGATGCTCCAGATCCCATACAGGCCCAGGCCTGGTTGTAGAGGATGGAAAGCCAATGTTAAACAATAATTTCTTATGTCACTGAAGATGTGGATCATATAACATTATTTGCCTGGTTTAGAACCTCTTTCTCTCTGTGTATTTCTCAGTCCCTCTATCCATCCATCTCCCTTGCTCTCTCTCTCCTTATTTTTTTCCTAATTTTCCCCCACTCTCTATGTATGTCTATCTATTGCTATGTATTTTTCTGTTCCCCACTTGCCCCTCTCCACCCTCCCCCTTTTTTTCTGCCTGCCCTTGCCTCTCTCTCTCTCCCTCTCTGTATTTCTCTCATGCTCTGCTCTTTGTTTCTATCATCTCTCTCTCTCTGACTTCCTCTTCCCCTTTGCCTTTATCTAGGCTATGTCTCAGCTTCTCTCTCTGCCGTTGTCCTTTCCATTTTCTCCTCCTCTCTCCATTTAATTTTTCTGTTTATTTTTACTGTCTCTCAGTTTTAATTTCTAAAAATTCTAAAGATTAAGTTCTTAACAATCTATCATGCTGCATTATTATTATTTATGGATATAAATGCAATATTCAAATAAGTTTAACCAAGATTTTTAAAAAACAAAAGTAGTAAAAAAAAAGGTTTTACAAAACCCAACACCCTTATATATACCAAATTCCGTCCTTTTCAGGACGAAATTTTTTGTCATTTGAAGCCCCACTCTGGCTTTTGCCAGGGGCCGCAATATAGGCAGGCCATTTTATATGGCCAAATGTCTGAACGCGGTTTCTGGGACCTCTCCACGGCGATCCTCATCCACATGGTGGCACTTTGTGTCATCGGGTGTTTATCGCTTGTGTGATGTCCTGGTGGGGTAGAAATTCAGTTCAGTTCAACCCAACACCATAATGTTACAGATGGCAGACACATCAGACAGACAGATATGATAATAAGACTAAACATATAATAAACTGTCTTTGTGTTTGTAAGAAAACAGACAATGTAAAGACATGAGGAAAGTGCAACAGGGTAAGTAACTCTAAACATTATCATCTATAGCAACATACATCAAACAAATCACTTCTCATTTTCTGGTTTCCCCTATCTCTGTCTCACCTTGTCTCTGTTTTCCTCTTAGGTCTCTCTCCTCTCTGCTTTCTCTTACTTCTGTATTTCTTTCTCTCTGCTTTCAACTCCCTCTGCTCTCATCACGATCTCTCCCCTTCCCTGTGCCTCTCTCCTCCCTCTCCCTTCCCTCTCTCTCTCACCTCCATCTGTCTCTATCCCTTTCTTCTTTCTTAACCCACCCCCCCCCCCTTTGTTTTTTTTTCCTTTTCCCCTCTCCCCTCTTCTCTCCATTTCTCCCCACACAATGAACATCTGTTAAAAATAAAAAATTCTGACCAGAAATTGACACCAGCGACAGAATTTCTTCTATTCCCACTGTTCTGTGGCCAGAAAACCGCATCTGGCGCATCTGAAATGCCGCAATCGCTGTAGCAAAGAAGGCCACTACCAAGATTATTTCTTCGGAGACATGACCTGCAAAAAGTGCATCAAATATGTAAATAAAATGAGCTGCTGTGAAAATGTTTTTGTGAAGACAAATATAAATAATAACACATTGCAATATCTCCTTTGCTTGTATATTAAGTAGAACAACAGGCAGCTTTCAACATTTGTTTCCCCCAGTGTCTGTCACTTGAAGGCATAGAAGCTCTTGCCATGTTTCAGGCTGTTCATTCTTCCTCTTGCTCCTTCTTCTTATTCCCTAGTCTTTCTCTGCCTTTCAGCATTACATACGCCTTGAACAGGCATCTGGCGCAAGTCTTAGCATTTGCTACATAGATGTTGGCCTCTGAAATTCCATATATCCACACCTGCATGGACGACCTCTTGCTCTCCTGCCATTGCGTCTAAGTGACAAGGCTGGCTGTGATGCCCTATCCTGTGATAATCTTGACATATTTTTTCATCACCTGATCTGTTGTCTCTTGAAGTAACTCAGCACTGTTTCAATCCCAACTTGTTCCTTGATTTAGTCATTTCTGATCCTGTCTTTTTTTGGGTTATATTAAGGATTCCTCGTATACATATCATTTCCCTTGTTTTAATTATTCCACTTTTTATTGATGGCCATGTTTCGCACCAGTAACACAATCTTGGTAAAAATGCTGTATTGAATTGTGCACTTCTGGTGTTCCATTACATGTATTCTAAACTAGGATAGCACAGTAGCTAGCATGTTTGTCTGGTGGTTAATGGTTTGAACCCCAGTGAGGTAGATTTTAAAAATGGATACAGGTTCTCATGTCAGGTCAGTCTAGAAATGGGTACAAGAAAGTGTATCGAGAAGTACCAGTAGTCAGCTTAGCACTGGCCTTATTGTTCAAGGACTGACTGTGGGGCCAGCGCAAGTGCTCAAAACATCAAAAGTTGTGCAGACATATTTTTTTTGTTTTACTGCTTGTTCTGATCAACAAAAGCACCACTATCATCATCATCATTTAGTGCCTTGCTGATGGTGGAGCAAGCATGCCTCTCAACAACCTGCAGTCTCTAACAAAATTGGTCACTTCATGTTCCCTTCCACATAAGGATAAAAGATGGTCAAGAATCTGCTCACATTGTCTTCTCTTATCACTCTTTATATAAATCATTCTAGTTATCACATTTTCCAGTTTCCCTCTTTATATAAATCATTCTAGTTATCACATTTTCCAGTTTCCCTCTTCATGTAACACAGTAACGAGAGAAAAAAAAAATTGACTACCTCCCTCAGATTCTTGTGATAAACTGTCTTTGGGCTGTCACTTTTTATAAAACATGTTTAAGATAAATTGTATTTTGGGCTGTCACTTCTTCCAAAACATCTGGGGATGTTTAAGATAAATTGTCTTTTGGTTTTTTCTTTTTTCAAAACATCTAGGTTGCTCTTTTTGTGTCTAAGGAGTTTTAGTCATTCTTCTATAAAACCACATCCTTGAGGCCTTTAAAAAATTGTTTTGAGCCATCTATTATTTGTACAGGAGCCATATGTTAAGATTGGCTCTAAATAGCATTTAGACTGTTGCTGTGTTTTTTTTTAAAATCCTCCAATGAAACAAATTTATTGCATTAAGTTTATAAAAGGCCAGAACATTACAACTAATAAATATCTAGATACAGAGAAAAGCAGCGACTGAAAAGGGTTGGGTATCTGTTGGCCACAGGAATTCGACAACTCCATTATGACAATAAACAAATTCATTTTTTGCTCAGATTGTCTTGGTCCTATACAACAGCCCTGTAGTTCTTCAGACTCTCTACTTTCATATTACTCCTCTGTTGTTTGTTCCTAATGGTTGAAAACAAGAAATTCTATGGCTCAGAGATCAGCAAGTGCATATCAGGGTTTGACTTCCATGTTTTTTGGTTTGGAAATAAAGTCTTTCTCATGGATCTCAGTTAGTGGTATGAGAGTCACACAGTGGAAGAGATTGGAGCCTCACCATGCAATATTCCCAAAATTACAGAAACAGGCAGCAACCGGCGTCAGTTGGGGAGCTGGCACACATTTTATTATCTTTTTATTTTTTAAACAGAAAATGTCACTCAAAGATAATTTGTTTGAGTTACAAGATGGCAAGTGGAACATGGACAGCTATACTGCATTCCATTCATAGAGAGGCCTTGCTGAAAAGCTTTCAACAGTGAATGAAGAGACTATTTTGAGGGAAATGAAGGTGTCAAACCATTTGGTATAAATGAAGGAGCAAACTACTTAGCAAAAATCTTGAGCAGTATAGAACAGCCAAGAGCACTTATGTAAAAGTAAAGTAAGATCCCTTTACACGATTTTAGGCGCATCAGGCATATGGAAAGAGCACCCATATTTTTACAGACCAATGGCACTAGGTGGGTAATGTGGTCAGCAATACGCTGGCTGTCTTTACTTTGCCAAGACATACATCCAAGTACCCATTTTAGGCTGGGTCTTCCTGCGACGTCCCATAACATGATAAAAATACACGCAACCAGCAGTGGGTTTCGATCGTGGTGCTTTGGAATTATGAGTCGGACTTGCAACGCCTTAGCCACAGACACTGCAAGTGCACTTATGAGGATAATTAAATTCAGATCAAGGCAGCCATAAGAACTCACTGGAACACTTCCACCAGAACAAAATCCAAAAGACCCAGTCAACCTTTTCACATAAAAAAAAAAAGACCACTGTATTTAGATCCCTAACTGAACACAAAGACTGCAGTCAATGTGTGATAGAAATTCAAAGAGTGGGGACTCAAAACTTTGCCCATGGGGAGAGGCACCATCACATAAAACGAACCAAACTTTTTCTGTAATTTATTTTTTTATTTATCTCAGGTTTGGATACTTTTTTGCACAGACTTCTTAGACTTAGATTAGATGATTATAAAATATAGTTGACTATAAAATACACTCAACTAAGATGACACATTGTAACTCACCAAGAAGAGTTCCAATTGCCACATGACTTGTGACACTGGTCAGCACATAGAAGCAAACGATGCACACCACAGCAATGACAAACAGCAGGATTCCTAGAAACAAGCCTTTGCTGGAGGCTGCACAGTCTATACTCATCTTATGGTGTGCATTCTCATCTTCACTGTCATCATCACTATCTAATGTATCAACATCTGAGCAGGAGTCTGTTCTTTTCACACCATTATTACCATCGCCAACGTTCGACCACATGACATACAAGACACCTGGTTGGGAATAAGAAAGTAAAGATGTTTGTCACAAAATATGCTTCTTTTTTTTTTAAGGAAGCGTTAGGCATAAACAATTTTTTTTATAATGCGCAGTCTTTAAAGGCTCATAGGGCTATGACACAGTTGGGAGAAGGAGATTGATAGAGAGAACATTCTCTATCGTGAATTACAGATAGGTGAAAGTTGTTGAGGTCATCCTCTACTACAAAATAAAGATGTGTGCAGACAGGACATGAATGATACAGGTATTGATTTGGGTTCATGGGAACTGTATGTCACAGATGATGTTGTATAGAAGGGAAACATTAGGAAGGAAATAGAGCAAAGGTGGCAAGTATTGCAGACGGGTTTAAAAACTGAGCATCTGAGAAGAAACACAGGAAACAGATGTGATGGCTAGAATGGTCTTAAAATCGCATAGCAGGCAGTTATTGTGGACTGTCCTCAATGGGAGCTTGTCTTGCTTGATTACCATGTCTCCAATAGCTAGGGTGTCCACAATATCCTGAGCTGAAAACGGGACATCTGACTAATATCTGGAGCTGAAAACGGGACATCTGACTAATATCTGGAGCTGAAAATGGGACATCCCACTAATATCTTGAGCCGAAAACAGGACATCCCACTAATATCTAGAGATAAAATGGGACATCCCACTTATATCTTGAGCCAAAAACGGGACATTCCAATAATATCTTGAGCTGAAAACGGGACATCCCAATAATATCTTGAGCTGAAAATAAGACATCCCAATAATATCTTGGGCTGAAAACGGGACATCCCACTTATATTTTGAGTTGAAAATGGGACATCCCATTAATATTTTGAGCTGAAAATGGGACATCCCACTAATTTTTTAGCTGAAAACGGGACATCCCACTAATATCTTGACCTGAAAATGGGGCATTCCTAGTAAATTAGTTTAACTCCCTCCCATCTGTATTTTTAAGGACACTGGGGTGAAAGGTTTACTTACTTGCTCAACAATGATGTTGAAAAAACATTGTCACCAAGAAATAAATGAAACAATTTGCTTTTTAAATGCACTTGAAAAAAAAAAAAAAACCAACCTGCTACAAGGAAAAACCCCACCAACACATGTCAGGCATTAAAAGTACCTAGAACTATTAACTCAAAAAAGCTTTACAGACATAACTGTATGTGACTTGTTGTTGGTTTGATATCTTTCCCAGTAAAACTGTTATACTGCTGAACAGGGTTTCTGGGATTTTCTCCTGTGTGATTCTCATCCTTAAGATGTTAATTAAACAGCCTGTAAGCCTGAAGTGGACAAATTGTAACAAAAAATACTTACATGCACATATTAAACTGTACTGAATGATACAGGGGTACAAATAGACAGAAGAGCTCTCCACAATTTTCCCAAGCATGGCATCCCATCGACAGTTTATCTCTGACATTGTTCCTATCTGGTGATCTGTGGAAAGTCGAATAAGGTACAAAGTGAAATAACTGCAAGTTGCATTAACTACACAACATAGCAAAAGTAAAAGAAAGGAAACTTTTTCATGGGGTTTAGGTGTTCTGGGCACACAGTAAGTAGAGTAAAGGAACCTCTTTTACTTCATCAGGCATATTGGGCATATAGGGCTAGACCGATTTTTGTTAGGTCAATCGGCACTTGGTGGGTGATGTGGTCAGTATCATGCTAGCAACATTTACTTCCCAGGACTTTACCTAGTTTCCATTTAAGGCTGGGTTGACCTGAGAGTCAAGGTCATTTAAATGTTGAATTAGGAATTGACAACACAGCACTCAGGACACTCCCATAAGTGCTCAGTCCTCATCTTCAGCAGTGAGCGAAGATTTCCAATTCCGATGATACAAGTAACCGTCTGATTGTATATACGTCTCATCTTTCTTCTGAGTGTTAAGCATCGGCCAGACTCACTGGTAACTCCTTGCAGCGCCATTCTCCTTAGACTGTAATGATCTATCTACGCCTCCGCATTGTTTGCTCGCTCCCAAAGGGCTCTAAAATATCTAACTTGTCATATTTCAGTTCACGACCAAGTCTTTCTGTCTGCTCATTTCCCAACACACCGGCATGACCTGGAGAAAATATCCAAAGGATGTGTTACAAATAACAGCCTGGAAGATACACTAAGGTGAAACTTAACTCTTTAAGTCCCAGGGAACACATCATACATTCATAGGTTCTTACCTAGAAGCCCAATGAACGCTTGATGTGCCGATTTTAGTCTCTCTTTACTACCCATTGGGCCTTTGATGCTGAACTCCCTGAGACTCAAAGTGGTAAGTGATTTTGGCACAGTGCAGATAAATCATTATTAACTGTACTATGCAACACATATGAAGGTGAAATATGACTGCCTATGCTCATTGACATGGCACATGATAATGATGATACTAAACATAACCTACCTTGCATATATTCTTCTAGAGACTGAATAGGTTCCTTTTCATCACTATCATCCTCTGCATCTTCCTTGTATTCCTCATAAGCCTTCACCATGGCATTGTATGTATCTCGTCGGTCAACTTTGATGACCTGGAGTGTCTCAACAGCTATCGACCGCAGCCAGACACAGATGTTGGTGCAACTCATGTGCATAAGGCCAAAATGTGCCAGAGTTTTGTATTTATGCACACACATCTGGAAGATAAGATTCAAAGAACAGGCAGGTTGAGTTTCCGGCCTAGGTTTAACTTTTTCAGAAACATGAAATTTGACAGACCTGGCAAACATCAATTTGAATATATGAAAATGGCAGAGGAGGTGTGTTGAAAAAAAAGGCAATGGAGAATATAACATATTTCGAATCCCTTCACAGGTATATGGGAGTCACCATGGCGTTGGCGGCTAGATGCCCACCTGCGGATTGGAAGGTAGTGGGTTTGCACCCTCATGGAGCCTGACTTTTTAAAGAAAAATGACAGTGACTTCTAGGTCGACCAAGCTTTGATTAGGTACCAGGTTCGGTCCAGGGAAGTAAAGGCGGCTGGCGTGATGCTGACCACATTACCCACCAAGTGCTGATTGGTCTATAAAAATATAGGTCTAGCCCTATATGCCCTATACGCCTAAAGGTGTGGAAAAGGGTTCTTTACTTTACACAAGTATATATATATAGATACACATACATAGATATATATATTTACACATACACACACACATATATATATATAAATATACATATAAATATACATATGTATATAAAGTAAGTAAAGATCCCTTTTCACACCTTTAGGTGCATCAGGCACAAGAGAAGAGCACCCATATTTTTACAGATCAATCGACACTAGGTGTTTAATGTGGTCAGTATTACGCCGGCCGTCTTTACTTTCCCAGGACATACATACTGGTATCCATTTTAGGCTGGGTCGACCTGCGACGCCCATACAACGATAAAAATCCATTCAACCTGCAGTGGGTTTCGATCATGGTACGTTGGAACTACGAGTCGGACTCACAACGCCAGAGCCACGGATGCCGCTATATGTATATATAAATATAAATATATATATATATATATATATATATATATATATATATATATATATATATATATATATATATATACATACACACACATACACACATTTATATTTTTTTTAAAAGAGGAATGAATGTACAATTTGAATGATATATGAATGCTTAATGCTGTTATTGTAAGTATTTAAAAAAAAAAAAAAGAATTCAGCAAGTTTTATTTCACATAGTCACAATTTAGCAAAATAATGTTCCACTTTTCTTGCAGCAAAAGAGCAGTCAATAACCAAATTTGAGAATAACACTTTAAAGTTTGTTCAGTTTCTTAACAAATTCAATGGCACTTTCCTTCCCTTACTCCCCCTCAACATGGTAGTAATGGAACATTGTTTCAGACTCATCAGAACTTCTAGATTCTCTAACCCCTGACAGCTTAGCTGCTGATGGTGCAAATTCACAGTCTAAATTACTCTCTGAATAATTTAAGTTTCATTATCAGAATCATAATTTTTCCACAGATATTAAATAAGAATCAGCTAATGGACTGATTTTTTTGACACACATGAGTTTTATATTTCTACATAGACTACTTACAAAAGCCCTTAAGATAGGACTTAATAAAAAATACAAAAGTAAAACTAAAGTAATAAGAAATAGTCAGAAAACAGAAAATCAAATCATCCTAAACAATGATGTGACAGAAAGTGAATAATTTATATACCTTAGAGGTACAGTAACTTCCCGTTTGGGGATTATGAAAAGGATTTAACATCAAGAATAAACAAATAAAACCAATCATGTGCCATGCTTAGCAATATAGGGAAGTCAAAGTGCCTTGGCCTGAACAGAAACTTAAGATTTTAGAAGAGCAGCATTTTAGGAATACTATTATACTTCTGTGACTGTTGGAAAATAACAGCAAAAATTACATATAAACTAGAGAATTTTTTTTCAAAATGAACATCAAAGGAGAATCCTGCAAATATTTTGGCCAAACAAAGTCACTAATCAAGAACTGACGAGGCAATGTATTGTTTCTGGCAAATGTTATCAAAGGAAGAAAATTATGGTTTGGGTCTGCAGGTTGCCTGGTGTGAATGACAAGCACAGCTTTCTGATTGATAGCAGATAGAAAAAAGGAGATGCAGACTAAATAACAACATTTGAAGAGGATAGTATAAATTGAAAAGAAGGAATGTAAAATGACATGAGGTACCATAGGTGATGTGAAACAATGGATATAGCTTGTAAATGTCTTGTGTGCCAATAGCAATATGAAGAAAATGTAGACAAAGATATCTGAAGAATGCAAGTCAGAGTTTCAGATTTCTACATGTTTCTGAAAGATAATGTGACAGTCCAAGAGACCACAGGAACAGCTATTAGTTTTACACGGTAATGCGAAGAAACCTGGCCAACCATGAGTTAAGAAAAGACCTTGTTTAGTCTTTTAGCTGTCTATTTTGGCTGTGGCTCTGTGGTTGGCTCGGTATGGTCAGACACCCTGTCTGCTGTTGTTTGACTGCACTTAGTCTCAACGCACAGGTGTGTCAGATCGGACCGGCTAAGCGACGCTAGACTGGCTCGTGTTCGCGATAATAGTACATTTCAGTTGTTTAGATTGTGTTAGATTTGATTTCCATTGTGCATCCTCGCTAGGAGATAGTTTGATGGCAGGTTGCTATAAGGGATTTGTTGGTCTGGTGGCGTATTGAAGCTTAACATACATGTTGAATATGTTTCAGTTTTCGCAATTGTTGAGGTAATCTCGCTGAGCCTACGGTGTCATATCATATTTCCTTGTAAGCTAGAGATGATCGCTTTAGATTCTGTTCGAGCAGGTTGGTTGTTGTTAATGTTGTTATTTGTGAACCACGCTGATTTTATGTTAAGTGAAATAAACCACTTATATTGGATTGGGTCATATGTTTACACATATATCTGGGGGATAATAATTAAAGATTGGACCACTTATATTGGATTGGTTCATATTTCTAGACATACATATGGGAGATAAGAATCAAAGATTGGACCAGTTATAATGGACTGGTTCATATTTATACACATATATCTGGCAGATAAAAATCAAATATTAGACCACTTATATTGGATTGGTTCATATTTCTACACATATATCTGGGGGATAATAATCAAAGATTGGATCACTTATCTTCTTCTTTTTCGCATTCACCAGCTGTAAACTCTGGCGAAAAGTTCTAGTTGTTCATCCACTTCCGGACTGCAGTCCTGTTCCAGAACCTAAGTGTTGATTGTGCATCCGTTTCACATATCTGACTCATTTGTATGCAGACTGCAGGTTCCTTGCCTCTCAGGCAGATGCACCCCGGCTTTGAAGGAAGCTCCGAATTAGTCGACTCTTACGACATGCTTTTGGGGAGGCAGTGAGTCTATTCTTGTTTTTTCTATAACAGGGCCCCAGAACCCACACGGGGAGAATCACTTATGTTGAATTGGTTCATATTTCTACACATACATCTGGGAGATAAGAATAAAAGATTTTATGCTTTATTTAAGATTTGTTGTTTTTGGCTCCTTTCTGTTTTTCAAAACGATAGCGTTATTTTGTGTTAAGGGCAGGAATGAGAATCCCTGCCAATGGTGATGGCGAGTGTGACTAGCAAGACCCACCAGTCTTAAGAAAAATCTACCACAGTTAAATCACAGGATTTCAGGACCATTGCTGGCATTACTATCACATATATAAGTGCGCCTCTTATTAGACACTCAGCTCTCAAACTATCTGCAATGATTTTTTTCCCCTTATTCTCATTCCTTTCTTCATTTTCCCCATTCCATGCAACATGGTCCATGGCATTTTGTTATAAGCTAGAGCTTTGTATTTCTAAATAGATATATGGAAGATGAGAATTAAAGATTGGTCTTGTTACACACAATTATCTGTTTGGATCTTACAGGAGAAGAGAAAGGATAGAAAGTTCCCCAGGATCTGTGGGCACTGGAGTGAAGATAGAGCCATCTCAGACAAGTACACAAACAAACTTTCAAGACCCTTGTACTTGTTGCACATTGTGACAATCCCTTATCGACTGGAAATCTGAGAGAGCAGCCAGCTGCCCGGCCCGAGAAAATTTCTAAATTAAGAAGCTTTTCGAAAAGAAAAAAAAAGAAAAAAAAAGAAATTTTTGTTTATCTTAGGGAGTCTAGCATGTCCTCTAACCGCCATTTCTTTCCTCTACGTCTCTGAGTGCTGATCGATACCTGTCTATTATTTGTCATGAGATTCCAATGGCCCCAAGACAGAGCTTTCCAAATTGTTCATGCTGCTGAGACAATTTTTTAAACGGCAAATATAATTTCAATATGCAGTAATTCAGTCTACTAGCAAAACAGAGGTTAAATTAAATTAACCCCTATTGGAGATAAGATACAAACATAAAATGCTTTAAAACCTTACATTTGCCTGACAAACTTCCAAATTACAGCCAACACATTAATGTGTTGTGACATACAGTTTAGAAAGCTCTGTTGTCAGGGTGTCTTAGTTATTTCTGCAAGTATTTCTGCATGTTACAGAAAAAAAGTTCTTTTACCAACTCACTTTTGAATTCATGAAAATGAAATACATCTGCACAAAAGTAAAACACAAATGTGCCAGGGGCTTGATGGCTTGGATGGCACCACTGCAATGGCTGTCAAGATGGCTAACTTCAAAATAATGGCCGAAGGTAAGTGCGCTGTGAATCATGCTGCCAATTCCAAAACCTGAGAAATGAAAATGATTTTGAGAATTAACCATATCGAAATGTTTCTAACCCCTCAAAGCCCAACCCCATGACGAAATCATGAGTGGTGATAAATGAGACAAAGTAAGGGGTTGATATGATTGGACCTTGTGCAACGGAGGATGGTAGCGCATTTTTTAGTCATCCCAAAACATCCTGGCCAATGGGGATCTGATAAGTTGCGAGAGGTCTAGCAAATTATCAATGGATCTATTATTTCTTCAAGAATATTATGAGATATAAATGCACTGATCAAACCATTTTTGACCATGGCGTTGTTTAAAGACAACAATATAATATGTCCATGGTTCAGGCTGCCTGAAGAACAAGAAGCAGAACCTTACATCTGTCTCAAAGTGGTAAAAAAGGAAGTGAAGAAGAAATAGAAGAAGAAGACAAATAGTTCTTTAGGGTTTGATGGAAGATCATCTTTGTCAGAAATGTTTGAAAACAGATGAGACAGAAGGCTATGGATAGACAAGTTAATTAAGGTACCTAGCAGGGACTGTAATTAAAAACACACACAAGGGGAGTGCTAATGTTCTTACCTATAACACCCACACGAAGATAGAAACTGCCTGTATGTTTGGAAACTTCTGGATTGTAGACTATCTTCCTTCTCCTCCTGTATGAGCTGGCACTGACACTGAGATTGCTGTTTCCTCTAACAAGAGGTTTACCAGCCATGGACACACTTTTTTCGCTGGCAACAGAGCTTCGGGATCGCTAAGAAGGATAAGAAATTGATTAATATTTTAATGACTATACAACAGTAGAAACACATCAGGATTTAGAACTATTAAAATGACTACAGACTGACATAAAGGACATGACGGGGATGACATGAGATCTGTTTATTACTAAAATGTCATGCAGGCATGAATACAGGCATAAAGGTAATTAACCAATTTTAATAAATGAACAAATAAATCAAGAATTGACATCACTGCAGTTAGGATCTATAAATTGTTGACATTTGCAGTCAGTTTTCTGTAGGATGGTGTAGAAGACACAAACCACCTTCAGCATGAAGCCCTGGATACAGCTAAGGGTACAGGTTGGTTAGAGGGAAGTCTTGTATGGCACAAGCAGAAGACACAATTAGAAATGTGTGTATGCTGGAAACAAAATTTGGAGAGGTGAGGAGTGGGTCAAGGTGATTACATTAAAGAGCTTCTGCATCAACAAGAAATGACAATAGCCAATGCTGCCCAACAAGCAATGGCTTGCAAACTAATCCTCCCCATAGCGCTTAGTGGCAGAAGTGGAAACTGATGAAGATGATGATGATGATGCAACAGATTGCACGGCATACTGTTCCTGAATCCACCTCAATAACTATCGTTCAAGTCCCATTATCACATTTCATATTTCATAGCAAAGGCTGATCCAACCATCTTCTGCAAATCTGTAAAACAAAATTATCAACAACAAAAGCAGCAGCACAACAAATGTAAACATGATAATCACCACTGATGATCGGCTGAATGTTCTCGACAGGGTCCTGGAGATGGTCCTTGGGATGGCCTGCAGGAAGCTCTCCTCTTTCCTCAGTAAGTAGGTGTACACATATACCAAGAAGGCCATGCTGACCGCATAAAGGTACAGATAAAACACCTGTGGAAACAAATTAGCATTCCAATTGATTACCTGCAGGCAGAAATATGAGACGGACTGAATACTTGGACAAAGAGATACAGTGTTTAACTAGATTACAATAGAGAATTAGAATGTGATACCTGTCTGTGTCTTAGGCGTTGTGAACGCACTTTGTAATGCTGGGGTGCCAGGTTAAATCTCAACTGCGGACGATTTGTCTTGCGTTAGTTTCGACAGTGGCACCCAGAGCTGACCGTTTAGAAAGCAATGGCAAGCTACTGAACTTAAAATTTGCCTAGAAAAACCACAATAGCCAAAAAATGCTGGGGTTGGTTCTGCAACGTCCTTTATTGGATATGCAACTAACTTGGGCAAAGAAATATAGGGTTTAAATAGGTTACCTTGCAAATTAAACTGTGAGTATAGATAGATTACAACTGTAAGTACAAAATGTGAGTACAGGCAGATTTTCTGTACAGAAAAAGGTTTTACATAGATAACCTTCATGGATAAAATTATGAGTGCAGAGAGATTACAGGTAGGCAAAAATATGGAGGTACAGATAGAATACCTGTGGGAAATATTACCGGTGCAAACAGGATAAATGTGAGAGAAACAGAATATGGTATAGACAACAAACCTATGGGAAGAAAACCCTGGGTACAGATATTTAATAGAATTTGAGTGTAGAAGGAAAACCTGTAAAAAAAATATATATATTCTAGAATGACATGACACACTTCACAGAATGACACGATACACCTCACAGAAAGTCATGATATTCCACAGAATAAATTGATACACCCCACACAATGACATGACAGACCAAACAGAATGCCATGATACCCCCACAGAATGACATGATAAACCCTGTAGAATGACATCATAAGCCCCAGAATGACATGATACACTCCACAGAATGACATAAAACACCCCACAGAATGACATGACAGACCAAACAGCATGACATGGTACACCCCACATAATGACATGACAACCCCACAGAATCACAAGATAAAACCCAAAGAATCACATGATACACCCCATAGAATGACACCACAGACCAAACAGAATGACATGATACACTCCACAGAATGACATGATACATCCCCAGAATGCCCTGATCACTCCACAGAATGACATGATACATCCCCAGAATGCCCTGATACACTCCACAGAATGACATGATACATCCCCAGAATGCCCTGATACACTCCACAGAATGACATGATACATCCCCAGAATGCCCTGATACACTTCACAGAATGACATGATACACTCCACAGAATGCCCTGATATACTCCACAGAATGACATGATACACTCCACACAGAATGCCCTGATACACTCCACAGAATGACATGATACATCCCCAGAATGCCCTGATACATCCCCAGAATGCCCTGATACACTTCACAGAATGACATGATACATCCCCAGAATGCCCTGATACACTCTACAGAATGACATGATACATCCCCAGAATGCCCTGATACACCCCACAGAATTGCATGATACATCCCCAGAATGCCCTGATACACTCCACAGAATGACATGATACATCATGTGTTTAAATCTGTTATTGAGTCAGTTTAAAAAAAAAATGCATGATGCATCACCCATCAAGGGCCAAGAGGTCGGAAGGACTATGGGTTTACCATCAATTGCCTAATGAGCCAGTGGCTTGAAAAGAGTATTTACCCCATATAATGACATAAAATAGGCCATATTATCATCATCATCATGTAGCAGGTCCTTTGCAGAAGGTCGCTCTCATCACGGTCAGCCTGAAAGAAACTCTGTATCTTGCCAGCTCTCCCGCTTCATGCACTTTCAAACTCAAGGAGTCACTTATATCCTGTGCCCATCTTCGTATTGGTTGGCCCCTGCCCTTGCTTCCTGGTACCATGCCTTCTGCTTTTGTTTTTTTCCAGTCCGTTGTGGCGCCTGATATGACCAAAATATTTCAACTTCCATACCCTGTATAATGACATGATATACCACACAGACTGAAATAATACACTCCACATAATAATACAGTACACTCTACATAATGACATGGTACACTCTACATAATGATATGATACTGTACATTACATAATACACTCTACATAATGACATGATACACTCCACATAATGTCATGATAACCTCCACATAATGATATGACACACTCCACAAAATAAAATGATAACACTCCATAAAAGGACTTGATACACTTTACATAATGACATCATGTACCCCAAAAAAGGACATGACATACTCCACAGAATGACATGATGTACCCCATTAAATGACTTAATATACTACCTCAAAAAAGTATGGCTGTTCTGGACTGGCAAAGGTCTCTGAAAGTGGCAATACAAATCCCAGGACAACCAGAATAATACCATAGATGATACTAAGGATCACAGCCAGACTGTTCCTGCAAGACACAGCACAAGCAAGATAGCTAGACCATTGTTCATTTTACATTAACTCTTTCAGTCCCAAACAATGCAATGTGTTTACTAGATATTACTCAGTACAAGCAACATAGTTAGATGAGCGTTTTTTTTCACTTTAACTCATTTAAGTCCCAAACAATGCTCAGTGTTTACAGGATTTTGCTCACGTGCTCCAGTCAAGACTTCTTGCATATCTGCACATTTTAAGTCAGACAACTAAATCAATCTATCGATACATTCATTAGCTCTAGTGCTATTTTATGTCACTTAGAGCCAGCAGTCTATTCATCCATTTTGTTCTTCTTCTTCTGCTTTTCTAACCTCCAATAGAGTATAGACCCTCAACCAACTCCCGCTAAACTGTTCTCTTCTTTGCTATTGTATGCAACTCTCCACATTTCCTACCCATCCTTTCAACTTCACTCAAGTTGCTCTAGTTGCTTGATGACTTTGTTCTATTCTGATAAGATGTTGGAACAATTTGATTCTGATGTTCTATGCAGTCATTTACCGGAAGCTTTCCTAATTCTTTATTAGTGACCCTATTTCCTCTTAATTTTCCTGGAACATTTCTTATAATCTCCCCACGTGTATATGTGTTTTCTTTAACTTTCCATGTCTGCCATTGATAACACAAAGTTGGTGTGAATAGTGCACTTATCAGCTGTTCATTTTGTATGGTGACCCTTAAAGTAGTGGTTGGCATTTAGAGCTAAGCAGTGAGTTACGTACCTTTCAGTGCAATGCATCCTACAACACCAAAGCAATTATTGCTTTAAAATCTGTCAGTCTTCAGACAATTATTACTTTAAAATCTTTTAATCTTCAGACAATTATTAGTTTAAAGTCTTTCAGTCTTAAGACAATTATTACTTTAAAATCTTTTAGTCTTCAGACAATTATTACTTTAAAGTCTTTCAGTCTTAAGACAATAATTACTTTAAAATCTTGCAGTCTTCAGACAATTATTACTTTAAAATCCAACAATATCCAAACAAATATCACTTTAAAATCTTTCAACCTCCAGGCAATTATTATTTAAAAATCCTACAATCCTTAGGCAATTATTATTCACATTTTAAAATCTCTAGAAAATTATTACTTTAAATTCCTATAATCTCTTGCATTTATATAATATAACTATCTCACAATGAAGCCGTCCCCTTGTGGGATGCATGTTTTAAAATTATTTTGAAGCCCCACCCTGGCTTTTACCGGGCGCCCAGAATATATCCGGGCAAAAAATATGGCCTAGCCATAGATCTGGCCTAACAGCTGATTGGGGTTTCTGGGACCTGTCCACTGGTGATCTTCATCTGTGTGGTGGAACTTTGTGTCACCGGGTGTTTATCGCCTGTGTGTTGTCCTGGTGGAGTACAACTACCTACCTACCTACCCACCTAATATAACTTAACAATATAACATTGCCAGGTAAATAGTTCTTACTTTAAAATCCAACAATCCCCAGGTCATTATTACTTTAAACACTTCAGTGTGGTGTTAATCATTACTTTAAGTCTTACCATCTGCATGCAATTATTACTGTAGTCTTAAGTCACCATTTTTAAGGATGTATAATTTAACTATCACCTGCAAGTGGGCTATATCAGCTACAGACATTGAGGTGTCCAGCTTCTAGTCCCCATAACACATGTTGAGGTGGTCAGTTTCCTTCCCCAAAACTTACTTTCCCAGAAGATTTCCAAAACATTCCTCCCCGGAAAATTCTTTCCTATTTAATTCTGTCCAATGCAATTCTTTCCCACACATTTCCTTTCCAGACAATTCCTTCCCAGACGATCCCTCCCAATGCAATTCTTTCCCAGGCAATTCCTTTCTAGAAAACTCTATTCCAGACAGTTCCCAGAAAAATGTGAAAATGATCTCGCACACACGTTTATGAAGCTGCGCTGATCCCATTACCGTACTGATCAACACAACTAATAACGACTCTGCTTGGAATTAAACCAGGACCAACGTGAGATAGTTTTTAAAATATCATCATCATGTAGCAGGTCCTGTGCAGAATGCCTGGAAGAAACTCGGTCTCTGGCAGCTCTCTAGCCTCATATACTTTCATATTTAAATGTTCCCTTATATGCTGTGTCCATCTTCGTGTTGGTCGGCCCCTGCCCCTCCTTCCTGGTACCATGCCTTCTGCAAATTTTTTCCCCCAATCCGCCATGGTGGTTGATATGACCAAAATATTTTAGCTTGCGAGATATGATGCTGTTTATTAGTTAACCTTTCTTCATGTTTAGATCTGATATATACATAATTTTAAAAAAGTACTGATGGAATACTGAAACAATAGCATCATATGCTAGAAGTGAAGTGTATGAAATGGCTTATTACTTTGGTACTTTTACTGTAAAGATGAGGAAAAACGAACCTCAATTTTTCAGTCAAACATCCACCAGTAGAAGCTCTGGCATTCCGGCTTTGGTTCCCTGTGGGTCTGAATACATCGTCTGAGACAACAGAATCCCGCAATCTGGAACTGTCTTCTGCTGCAGCGTTGCTTTCCTCAAGGCCATACATAGC